ACTACCAATATTAAAAATAAAAAATCTAATTCGAGATAATAAAATATTTCTGAATATGTGTAAGAATTCATTAAACATTCTTGTTAAAGAAACAAAGCAACAGATTATTTTAATTCGTAGAATACAGGGTAATCTACTTGAATTTTTAATAAAAAAATATTTCAAATGAACAATGAAATATAAAAAAAAACAAAAATGTTTTAATCAAATCGGCATCTATCTTAACTGAGCTTACTATAAATATGAACAAAGTGCTCATACAAAAAGCTCAAGTACTCAAATACTAAACTAAAAATACTTGAAGCATATTTCGCCAACCAGATTAGCATCTGTATAAGATAATTGATTCAAAACACGCCTCAAATGTCAGCGTTTTAAGATGATTCTTCTGTTGGTGGATTAACCCCCCTGAAAGAAAATACAATACAATAAGACAACAAAGCTCACCATTCACCATTATAAGAAAGATATAATGACATATATGATTTCAATATTTCTTTGAAAGAAAATACTTGAAACAGATAAAGTCCATAAAATTTGGAGTTGAATAATAACAACAAAATTACAAAATAACTAATAATACAAGAAATCCAAATCAGTATTTTCCTCCAAAGAATAACCTCACATTTGAAAGCATATGTAGAAATTTTCAAAAAATCAGGGAATCCTACTGGGAATTTCAAATGACAGTAGGTATATTAATGACGACAAAAATTCAAAGAATTAAACATCAGTGAAAGGTATCGTAAGTCACTCACTGTTGTCTCCTAAGTCTCTCACTGGCTTTTGCCAAATATGCAGATACCACTACCTCAATTTCTTTTGCTGTAACATTGGGATGACATCTTTGTACTGCATCTAAAATGAAAAAATATGGTAAGTTATTAACGCAAAAAAATTACATCTCTTTCAAAGTCATCCTAGACAAATAACACATACCAAAAATACAAGTGCAAATTCTTGTATTCCTGAACACTTTTTTATGTTTGTGACCATGTAGACTGTATCCCAATGCAAATTTGTCATCAATCACCCTCTTCAGTAATCTCCTGGAGCACTCCTTAAAATCGTTACCACCAATTTTACAGAGACCCTCAACCTGTGAAAAAAATTAATTGATTGCCAAAATTATACTCAGGGGAACATATTCCAATGCTCCTAAAATTTTGTGTAGAAATGGTTATCTTATTACTGGTACTCACCAATCTTTTAAAATTATCGTCGTTTTGAAGATTTTCTTCCACACGACTTAGTGTCAAATCATCTGTGATAGAAAACTCCATAAAAAGGTCTACGGTTTCAGAGGAGATTGAAGGTTTATCTTTCAATAATGTAATAATATTATCCATTTTTTCAGAGAGTTCCAGAAGTTTCCTCTCACAATCCTGAATGAGTTTGGTATTCTTTACCAAAAACCCAATGCAAGATTTCTGGAACTTCTCATCTAAAAAAAACCACATGAACAGTAATTCAAGTAAAAATTTAAGGAAACACACCTGAAGTTAAAAGAACCCTCTGTGTGTCATCAACTTCCTGGTCCTGGTTAATATTTGTCTTTTGGGCTGTGAAAATAACATTCAAATGAGTGTATGAATATAGTGATAGCGAATTAATTATTTTTAGTCAACAATTATTTTCATGTTACAAATATTAGAAATGTATATATAATGAAAAATATACTAAAATAACAACTCTGTGAATTCATCGGCACTAATTAAAAAATAATAAATATATCATTTCATTAAAAAAAGAAAAAATGTATTGCATGCAGAAATGAGCGAGAAATAGGTTTCTCATTCAAAAAAATAAACCCACAAATGAAGTATTTTAAATGAGTGGTATGATGGGTTCTTCAATGAATTTCACTTACTTAATGTTATCCAAACTTTACTCACCAGAAGAGTTTTCCTGATTTTTGTCCAGTCTTTTATTATTAATACCTGGAACAAAATGTACATCAACATTCATTATCACTCTCTGAAAGTGGCACAACAAAATTGGAATGAAAATCAAATAGATATATTTCTCATAGGTTCCTCATGAACATTTTCAACTTTTTATGACTTGGAGAGGAAATAATAAGTTTCAATTTAATTTCCAACACTATGGCTTTTAGAAATTGAAAAAAAAAATAGATGATTTGTGGCAAACCGCGACACATGTTTCTGGCTATTGGCCTCATCAGCACGGTGCAGCCAATTGCAAAGATGGACAACAACAGGTTACCAAAAATGAAAAACTTCACATATGCACGGTGTCACCAACAGGAGCTAACCGCACATTTGTGGTTTCATTAGAAGACCTAGCATTCACAGGCATCATCTATCATCACCACGTAGGCAGCTATAGCCACCTGCATGACTTCTGGGTCCAGGGTATAAATACAGAGATATAGATGTTATTGAAAATTTGTGGGCAGAACCGCGACACGTGTTTCTTGCTCTTTGCCTCATCAGCGCGGTGCAGCCAAGTATAAAGATGTGCAACACTTGTTTGCTTGTGTTGTTTCCTGCTTTCGGCAAACAAGTGTTGCACATCTTTACACTTGGCTGCTTGTTTGCTTGTGTTGTTTCCTGCTTTCGGCAAACAAGTGTTGCACATCTTTACACTTGGCTGCACCGCGCTGATGAGACCAATAGCCAGAAACACGTGTCCACGGTTTGCCCCCTTTTTTTTTGAGTGTTGTGTCCACGAATTATTTCATTCTTGATTTGTATCATACACATTCGATAAAATCTATCTCGCTATATATCTATATAAAAAACAATAGCTTACCTTTTTTAGGAGCCAAAGTGAATATTCCATCGAGATCGGAATCACTCTCTTCTGAGGAACTGATCATTTTCTTCTTACACTTTCTTTTATCTGAAAGTGTTTCCACTTCTGATAAATCAGATGAAATACAACATTTCGTGGCTTTTGCACAAGCTACACGAAAACCGTCATATACTGTATCTCTCATAAGGCTGACTTTGTATTCCTTCCAATCTTTACTGGGCTCAAGTTCATTCCTTATTGCCTTTTCCATAGGGTTTTTTGGAAAAGGGGGGTACAATATTGAACTGTTGGTTTTATTGTACCAACAGTATGGTACTGCTTCAACTTCTTCAGAGCTACAGAATTTCACAATTACCCATGGCATGCACATCAAACCATTAACAAACTAGTGATGCACTGTTTGGAACCTTTGGTGAAGTAATGAATATTACAGGAGTTTTATCCCAACATCAAAACGTTATTCTAACACCTCGACACGTGTTTCGATCACCATGTGATCATCTTCAAGAGGAAGATTTGACACACGAGTCGAGGTGTTAAAAAATAACGATTTGGTGTTGGGAAGAAACTTCAGTATTATTCATCAACAGACTAATTCAGGGAAGAGAAAGATACATAAAAAAATGCTAAGAAATGAGTTTTTTGTGAAAATACAAAAATAGAGATGCGCCGAATAGCGGTTTCACCGAATAACCAAATACCCAATACTACTCGGTTCAACCTGTACCGAACTGAAAATTCGAACAAATTATTCAGTTTAAATATTGATTTGAGGGTTACTGACCAACCTAAACTAACCTATTATTGGAAATGAGGAAAATGAACTTCTTATTTATAGAAAACCCTCATACGAGTCGAAGTAAGATCGAGAAAGATACAGAAATAAAGTATCCGACACAGTAATGCAACTATCATCTGCATACATAAACACCCTTCCTTGAGATATGTGAATGGAAAAGTGTTATTGGAAATGAGGAAAATTAATATTTGGTGACGTTATCTCTAATTGAACACCCTCACACAAGTCAACGAAAAATATGTGAAACAACTGGAATAAGCAGACAAAGTATCCAAAGAATAATTAAAAATTACAAATTCCACCCGTATCGCATTCAACTACATCAACAGCTTTTTGAAGAAGATTATGATCGACGACTGAATTTTTGTTTATGGGTTTTAGAAAAGTTTGGTGATGTGCTTTTTTCCGATAAGTCAACTTTTCATAACAACGTATTAGTTAACAGACTAGTTGACAGTTTCACTACTACAGTGACTAAAACCCTAATATTTGCAGAACCCTTGATCACCAGCACAGGTGGTCTCTTAATGTGTGGGGTAGAATAATTGGAACGCAAGTAGTAGGTCCTTACTTTTTTGATGGTCATTAAAACGGCGTCATGTTTCTCGGATTTATTAGGGATAATTTGCCTATATGCTGTTGGAAAGTATACCTCCTAATATTCGTCAACGGATGTGGATGCAGCTGGATGGTGCTTCTGCACACTTTGATAGACGTGTTAGATCGACAATATCCAAATAGATGGATTGGAGGAGAAGGTCCACAGAATTGGCCAGCCAGGTCTCCGGATCTTACAAGTCCCGACTATTTTTTATGGGGATATTTCAAAAGAATTATTCACGATACACCGTCAACGACACCTCAGGATATGAGAGTACGAATAAGAAGAGCGTTCCATATCGCATAATATGTTATCCAGAGTTCAGCAGAGACACCATTTTGAGCATTTATTGAAATAATAAACTATTTAAGATTCTCAATTTTTCGATAAAATGAATGCTTTTTTGTTTTTCATCACAATACAGGGTGTTTCATTTCAAAGATAAAAAATTACTCATAAGTAAAATATTAAAACGTCTTTTGTGTAAAAAGCAGAAGAGATAGGTATAGGGAACCCTAATATAGTTTTAAAGGGAATCTACTCCTGCGTCAAATTGAGCCACTAAATGTGGGTGTTTCATTCAACTTTAAGAAGTTATTTAATTAATTGTGTGTCCAAATTTTGAGGCAATTTTTTTCGCCTCCCTGAATAATATTGCATTGAAAATTTCATCTGGTAGTTAACTATAACCTTTGAGCTGAGCAGTACATTTAATCACGAGCAGCTCGTTATAGATTACAGGGTGAAAACAATTTTTAAATTATGGTCGGTATTTTTGAATTTCTCAGAATGTCTCAGAAACCGTCAATTTTGAGTATGAGAAATATAATAATAACTTACGTTTATTTTGTATATAGTATCTAAAAATATAAAACTTTATAGGGTTTCCCATAAGAAAAAATATAACTTTGGTATGTACATGTCACTCTATATATTTCAAAATAATTTTGTAATATGCTCCTCATATGGATCCACATATACCTGTGCTGGAAGTTGTCCCTAACTCTCTTCATTTCTTGTAGAAATACCGAGGCGAATGTGGTGGGCCACCCTGNGTCGTCTTGCAAAATCGGAGGGTACAAAAGGGACCATCTCCAATAAAAGTTCAGAAATTTTAGAAGAATGAGCACTTGAAAATTTATGAGGTGGTGGTCCAAAACACCAGAGCCCAGAAAGTAATTTCTTAACTACTCCTAATAGAACTAAATGCATGTAGTCCAAAGGAACATCTGCTATTATATCAATATGAGGAATATTTAATAGAATTGATAGACCAGTATGGTGCTCAGAATCTCTCTGCTCAACAAAACTATCATGTGTTCTTTTATTGAAGGTCAAGAGGGGAAAACAAACTCGTTCCTGTATGCTTTCTCCATGTTGAAAACATTTGGTGCAAGAACTAAACCCAGAATGTCCTTTTATAGCTAATATAGAAGCTTTTGCAACAGCATCAAATAAGAATTTTGTTATTTTAAAACTATAAATTTTGCCAAATAACTCCAATCCATTATTGGTTAGCTCAACAGCCTCTTCAACAAAGTCTTTTAGAAAATCATTTACATTTTTTGGTTTTTCATATCCATGATATAGCCCAATCAGAAAGACACTTTTAGAATGCAAACCAAGGATGGGATAAAACTAACTGCAGGAACTCTTAGATATGGGTAAACCATCAATATTGATGCCAATTTCTATTACATCTAGTGCTGGCACCTTTCCTTCCTTTTCAAACAATTCTTCAATTGACTTCTTAATACCGAAATGATAATATTCCCCTCTATCTACTTTACGAGTAACTATTTGTTTAGGAGTAGCTAAAAATGTTCTCGCATCTCTAGGTAATCCTACAAAATCTTCAGGTTGAGTATTTCTCAAAATTCCCAAAAGGTCAGTCAAGGCACAAAGTGTAATTTTATTGTTAACCGCCCAGTCCCTGAGCTTTTCCTTGGTACTGAAAGTTGTGTTATTGCTATTGAAAACAGAGGGTACTTCAGAACTGATATCTGTTAAAACGTTTGTGGAGTTGGAATAATCATTGCCCAACTGATTTTCAAAAACAATTTCTTTAATACTATCACTGTCTATACTATTACCACTACTTGTACTGTTAATACTATCACTATCATTAATATGAAAGTCTGAAAAATTGATACTCGCATTATCATCATACTCAAATTCGTTGGAGTCACAGTGTTCTATATCTTCAACTTGAGATGCTTTATTGCAACTTGCATTCCCTTGTTGAAACGACCTCAAAACATTTTCAGTTTCTTGGTGCACTTGCCTGTACCAAGTACTACTCCTTTTTCTTTTGGGCATCTTGAAAAAGGCTGATGAAAATTATGAAAACAAATGATATAAAAGAATGTGTCATTTACTTACTTTTCTCTGATGAAGATACACAACTTAAATAATAACGCCGACACCATAAATTCCAATACTCCAATACACTATGCATACACGCAAGAACGACCTACCATGCCAACTGCCATATCGATTTCAACGCAATCGCAAAGGTGCCAAGCATTAAGGGGCAGCCGCTTTCACAGAGCTTCGCGACTGTCGCGCGCTACACTTCAATTGACCAATGAGAAAAGTTTACTTCAATACTTCACTTCCTCATTTCTCTGTTGCTAGGATTCGTCGCTTTGTAATTGAATAATTTCAAATATAAAAAGGCAAATAGAATGAAAATAAACTGATTTACTAATGCAATTGATTCATTTATTGACCCATTCGAATTTTTTTGTCGTTTCCAACAGTTGGAGCAATTCATCAGAATCTTCGTGATGAGTTCAAAAAGTGGTAAGCATATTCTATGAATATTTTGAAGGCATGTATATATTCCAAGAATATTCTATGAATATTTGGAATATATACGTTCGTTTTATGATATACAGGGAATATTCGATGGATATCTGGTGCTGTGTGGGAGTGTGCTCAAGAAAGAACATCCAAGAAAGGGCCCTTTCAGAAACAGGGATTTGTGCGAGGAATTTGGTGTGTTCGCTTTATGCCACAATTCTTACAGTTCACTCTTTTTTCATTTTTTATTATTTTTTCCAGTATTCGAAGACGCGACAATGTGATAAGTGGAAAGCTATTCAGACGGATATGATCCTTATCGAATCAAATACGTTAGTAACCTTCTTATGTTGGTTAAAATTCAAATGATTATGTCAGGTGTGACCACAATATTAGAGTCTCATAAAACCATGCGTCACACGGTAATGAAGAAAGATTTTGATTGCTATTGTTTTGTTTTACATGTTGAATCATTTGAAGTCACATTTTCGTTTAGTGTGATCTTTATGTAGCTGACCCATTTCAACATTGAGTAGATTTATTAGATACGCGCTGATGCGACACTATGCATAAAATGCTCTATATTGAAAAATTCTGCGATTTGTACAAATTTCATTTACTGAAAATCATAAAACAGTTGTTCTTCACGAAAATAGTTCATAACGTGATAACACGCTATTCAAAATTCGACGTTATTTCGTGTTTTGAAATATATCACCACCTCAATAACGGTAAACGGTGGTATTACTCATATAATGTTATACATAACTTCTGAAATGGATAAACAGGCGCGAGAGGCATGATATTATGTGTTTATGAAATGGAACGAGTCGTAGGCTATGCAAATGTTGAAATTAAACCAATGAAAGTCCTCCGGAGAATGTGAAGCTATGGCATCCCTGGAAATTATTATAGGAATGTATGAGTTAGTGAATGTATCATATATCTGCTCAAAAATATTCAGGATTTTATAGCAAAATTGTCTCATAAGAGTACCGATGAGTTTCACTAAAGAATCGAGTTGTTACAGATGCCAAATCATCAAATTTTTCAAACAATTTTATGTTCATTAATGATGAATCTTTCTGATCTTTCATAACGTCAACAAAAAAATTAGGTGGAATTATCCAATTTTGTAAATTTTCAAATATATCCATGACCAACCGGAACTTTCTGAATTTTGAGATTCAAATAAGCTTTGAGTTGAACAACTTTTTTTTCCATTCAACCGACTCTGAATCACCAAACCGATTTTT